ACATGGAAAGTCCCAGGATATGTGACCTTTAGAGGGGTCATACATGGAAAGTCCCAGGATGTGTGACCTTTAGAGGGGTCATACATGGAAAGTCCCAGGATGTGTGACCTTTAGAGGGGTCATACATGGAAAGTACCAGGATGTGTGACCTTTAGAGGGGTCATACATGGAAAGTACCAGGATGTGTGACCTTTAGATGGGTCATACATGGAAAGTCCCAGGATGTGTGACCTTTAGAGGGGTCATACATGGAAAGTCCCAGGATGTGTGACCTTTAGAATGGTCATACATGGAAAGTCCCAGGATATGTGAGCTTTAGAGGGGTCATACATAGAAAGTCCCAGGATATGTGACCTTTAGAGGGGTCATACATAGAAAGTACCAGGATGTGTGACCTTTAGAGGGGTCATACATATGTTTAAATGCCTTATTTAACCTTTCTCAGTGAAAAGTTTTTTAACTTAAAAAAAAGCAAATAAAACGTTAGATAACTGAAGAATAATAACTGGAAAGCAAGGATCATTAATAACCATAACTGGTACTAACTGGTCTGTCATCAATGAACGACTTGTTATCATCCAAACATTTATGATATTTCCAAACAAATTCTAGGAATAATTTGGGATAAGTTATAATAATATCATCCATAACCAAAAACAACACCAAAATTATTCTCATCTGTGCAAAGAATGAACCAAAATTATGAAATTTCGACCAATATCATATAAATTGAAGGTAAATGATTTGTGCTATTTTTTGGAATATTTCATGTTTGTTTAAAATGAAAACACTGGAAAACTGACAACTTTGGAAAATAAAGCATCTATTTGGTCAGGTCATTTACTCTGAAAAAAAATACACATATATTTGTACTCTAAACTGTTTACTACACACAATTGACCCTATTCTCAACTATTTTCTCACCGCTAACACAAACAGAATAATTTTCTGCCACATACGAAACAAAATATTTCTAATTCCATCAGAGTGCGTAAGATCACCCACATCCTTTCACACAAAGACTTCTAAGTATTCCGGCAACCGTTTCGTTCTGACACCTCACCACAAAAGACTTTTACAAAAGTCAAAGGACATTCGAGTCACTGGAATTTCAAGTTCTAAGTCACCGTGACAACAATTCTATTACTGACGTAAATGGGTTTAAAGAACCGAAGAACAAAATCCTGGGAAATTTATAGTTTTTGACCACAATTGGCAGCTAGATTTCAAATTTTCTTTGCTGGTGACTTCTTTCCGGGACAACGCGAAGGTTAACAAAATAGTACACGACAAGTAGAAGGATGTCCTGTATAATGTTCACCTGATTAGCAATCATCCAAAAACAACACCGATGTTGAAAAACGAGAATTTGTCATTTGTCTCAGTTAATCTTCTCGGAACTGCAAAAATTGACAAAATACAAACTTCCTAGTTTTTGTTTGTACAACCGCTATATTTCGGTTGTAAAAACCTGTTCAACGAGTGCATATTAAAAGTGCGCCCTCTTTGGCAATTCAACATTCCACCATATTGTTTTCCTTTCCATTGCCAATAAGTACCTGCGTACGTATGTTTTACAAGTGCTTTTAACCAAATTTTATCAATTTCCCAAAGTTCAAATATACAGTTGTCTTGGTAGAAACACGCACAGGTATGTGGAGGCTATTTTGCAAAACAGTACAAAGCAAATGAACTATTAAAGTGACAGGTTCTGTGTTGTGGTAATCACCATAAAACATAGCAAGGAAAAATGGTTGTATACATGTATAGCAGTGGGCTGTAATGACAGGTCACTGACGTAATAAGATTTGCTCGGACGCAACTAGATATGCAAATTAAACAGCACGTCATTGACGCAACAGAACACTGATACATACACTGATAGAGCAATCTTGAAAAACATATTGCTATAATTATTGTATTTGTGATTTGGTAAAATTAAATTCATATTTTGTAAAATTTTGGCATTAAAATGAAGTCACTGTCACATACAATTTTATTTATTTCTTGAAGACCAACCATCACCAGCAGCAAACAAGCTATAACACAACTTTTGGAGATTTCATTTTGACTCGGGATCCATTCAAAATCAATCCTGTTAAAGGACACACTGGTATGTACTGTCTTAGGCCAGAAAACAGTGACTTCTTTTAAATGACAGAATGCCAAAATCATGATGTTGATGGATTGTGACGAAAAATGTAACAAAATACCAAACGAATAAAGGAAGTAGTAGTTCAATGACTTCATAATTTTTCACCCGCATCCTACGGTACTTTTGTTCAAAACTCATTACTCATTCAGTCACATGATGCAAAAAAATCACCAAATCCATAAAATTTTAATGTTTTTTAACACATAAAACTTTATGTTACAAACTGTTTATACAAACATCACCACAGGGCCCTCTATATCCAACGAGTGTGTGAGTGTGTGACCGTGAATGCTTAACAGCCTTTGTTTCAAATGACGTAATAAGCATAAGGTACGCCATGTGATTAATTATACACAAAGACGTTCTACTCTGATAAACAAATGAGTAACAAATTATCAACAGACTTTTGTTCTGACAGTAAACATCATTGTGACTCACAACAAATCACCAAAAAACCCACAAGAAAGTAACACATTTTGCTCACGTTTTATATGTTTGATTCTTTTAATGATGTTATACATTACATCAGTGCTATTTTTGTAAGAAATTATAATCCTGCAATCCGACCTAAGAATTTTTCACATATTTTTGTATTTTTTCTTACAATTTCTTTTTTTACAATTTTAGCAAATTATTATGGGCTACAAGACTTGATTAACATTTGTGACAAAAAAATATGTAAAAAAAATCATGCTCATTTTATGCTGTGAATGTTGACAAGCGCAAAGGCTCATGGGTAGATGCTTGTTTGTAAACAATGACATGCTATGCCCATTTGATGCATGCGCATGTGATGACTCCCTCGCTTTAAAGGATCGTTGTTATGGCAATGTCAACTTGATGAAATGTTTATCACTAAATTACTTTTTTATGAAGTTTTCAAAACTTTCATTTTGCTCAAATAAATAAAACTTTTAGGAATTGTTAGGGTACAACAACTGGTTTGAATTCTTCAACTCGGTTCAATTTTTAACCCGCAAAACATACATTTCCCTCTAACGATTCTTGCTAAGTGAAACTGATCGGTTGCAATCTGTCACAATCTTCTCCATTACGACATTTTAACCAGGCAATTCAGAATAAAGCGCAATGACGTACATTCTAATTAGGTTTAACATAGTGTCTCCATAGCCTTGGGGACGGATCCACACGTCCTATGAGCAACATGTAATTTTCTTGTCAATTCAGACTGCCTCCGCCCATCAGTATAATTATATCCCCACATTACAAAAGTGAATCTATTGCATCAAAATTTATAGCTCTGTCAAGCAACAGTACTGATGGCAGTTCAAAAGCCGGGAACCTTTTTTCAAAGGAACTAATCCTAAGGGCAATAAATTCGCAAACACAGTAACGACTTATTTTAAATTGTTTTTACATCTCCCACTGAAATTTATTTTGCTCCAAATTTTATGATATTTGGAGATTTGTTGTTCATTCCTTAATTCCAAACTTATAGATGATCGCATATTTAATATCGAAAACTCCCACGACCTTTTCCGAATTGTAAGCAGCCCACCCGTAAAACGTAATGAAAAAATTCTTTCTATAGCTTTAAGGTACAACTGGAACATAATAAAGACACATCAAATAGAAGTCAGGGGGTGTTAAGAGGGCATCCGTACTATAAACCAAACTGTTAATGCTACTGGCAAGACTTACACAGACAAAAGGTGAGTCATTGAATTCTTCATGACCAGACTACAATCTTTTGAAAACTACTTGAAAAAGTTACACGGGTAGATTTTCCTGCGTGGGTAATTATTTTTTTTTAATCTCCTCCAAAATAGAACCGTAACAATACCAACATTAAGCAATCACAATAGCCAATATGAGGAGGTGTATTGTGAACGATTTAAACACAAACCATAGACATTTGATAGACATTTCTTCAAAAAAAGTCCACTTTTTGTACATAACTTTTTTAATTAATTTTTTTTTTTTTCCGAAAAAAAAAAGGGGGGGGGGATGTAAATGTTGGTTTATGTGCATGGCTATTAGAGCCAGAGAATGAGTTTAGTCTTTTGGGAAAGGTTTGCTCAAACTTGGCTGTGATTTGCAGTTACTGATAAATGGTATTAATATTTTAAATAATAGAGAAAACAATGTAAATCTGTAAATAAACAATGACATACAATAAGTAAAGTTACATGGAATACATTCCCTGCTCCCCTTAAAATGATTTAACTTTACAGCCCACAACAGAAGTGATTTTTTTAGGGAGAGGCAATGGGTAAGGGAATTTATCAACCCTATTCCTGCCTAAAATTCATTTGCAAATATTTTCACATTTTGTAAAATTGTCACTAAACTTCACAATTATTTTGGACCATACAGACAGTTTCAGATTATTGCTTTTAGTTTTTTGCCAAAAAGTTTGTCAATTTCTATAAACATTTCACGTAGGGAGGAGCAGATTATAAAACAGTTGACAATCATGCAAAACAGAGCTTTTCCTATACTTCCTTGTAATTCAATTGTGAGTAGTCAAGTCTAATTTCACAGATAACTTTTACTGCTCTATTTGCTGATTTGTAAATATACAAATGTATATTTTTTGCTGTCTGAAATTTGTGTTTTCTGAAATATATTCACTGTTAATTTACCAATGTCTAAACAATAATAGAAATCCTCATAGATCAGTCATCTAGCTGTACAAGCGCTAAAACTTTTTTCTCGCTAAAAAAAAACATGTACCTGGTATGCATTTTTTTTTGAGTTATGAATAAAAAATGTTTCCTAATTGGATGCAGAAACTGTTTTTTATCAATGGAGAGATGTTTTTGTTTTTTCAATTTCATAAATGATAAATAATGACATTTTAGCATTACAAAAACAAACTTACCGAGTACACTGAAGAGAAATACAAACACAGCACCAAAATATTTCTTTCTTGAGAACATTTTGAAAAGTGTCTATCAGCAGATTAATCCATAGCCCCCATTTATTGAAGAGCAGACTAGGAAAGAAATCCTGGGAAACTGAACAAATGCCAAGTAGGTGACAAGTGCAAGCATGAAACAGTCCACGTGTTTACGGACAGGCAGCCACTTTAGTTTAATTCCCAGTATGAAAGAACAGACGTTAATTTGTCAGCTAACTATAATAGCAACAACTTCAGTGTGTGTCCACAATGCTGTCTATATGGACAATCAACACTGCCTACTTTGTATGCAAATAAGATACAGTTCATTGAAGCAAAGTATTGTGGGTACACAGGAATTTCTTAGACAAGTGATAGAGTAAGGGATGTTCCATTCAATATTTTCATTTTGAAGGGGGCTTTATCTCGGTTGTGATCAATAATAAATACACAAATTTTATTTTATTCATTTTGAAGAATATTTAAGTGATAAGATATCACATATCACCTCTTCTTTCATTTCACCCCCCCCCCCCTATAATGATTTATGGTATTATGTGCTTGCTACTTTTGGACATTATTACAACACATTATTTTTAGATAAATTGGAAAATTTACCATTTCATCGACCTTTAGCCTGTATGGAGTAGGGAAAGACCAAATTTGTGAAAGAGGGAGATTTAAAACAAAAGTTATACCAGTATTCCAATGCTTTGTAACAAAAATGACAACATTGGTTATAATTGTGAACAGTATTTTAGAAGATATAGTATTCGTGATATTGACATGTCCCAAGATGAGATTGAACTCTTAATGAAGTGAATGTGACAGATAATTTGTGACTTGCTAGGAGAATCCTGATAATTATCTACGATAATCACAATTTAATTGCTTGAATATTCCCAAGTCCATTGCCCTTACATGTTAACTCACTAACTGATTTTTATGTCCCCTAGAAACGCATTAAAATGCCACTTTCAGATAAAAATTACAGTTTGCAAACTGAGATCTTCACAGACGATTTGTTTTAACTGCAGCGCAGACAGTTCAGACAATAAAAGTCAATTTTATTGATAAACCATTTTTGGTAAATGTTACAATGTGTCAACTTTGACCTGAGGAGTCAATAAATTAGAAAGCTACTGTGGTTTCATTAAACATTTAATTTTTGAAAGATAAATTCAATTGTAATTTTTTTAGCTAAGTCTTAATTTTAGGTCTATAAACCATAGCTGAAGATTGGAACTGAAGATGGAAACAACAGACAAGGTCACCTCACTTTCACAATCTACCCACCCCTGCACACAGAATGGAATAAGCCATCAGTTGGACCACAAACCAGATGAGACCAGCTGTTTTTAGCATTAATACTCATCACAATGGGGGGGGGGGGGGCGATGCAAAGAACCAGAGTTTAATGAATTTGAAAATTAAGAACAGAACCATATAATATGATTTTTTTTTATTTATTCTAGATTCTAATTATTTTTCTAAAATTTTAATATTTACATCTGTACATTTTTTGTAGAGCTCTTAACCTCCACCAAATTAAGACACATACATGTACATGGGTAGTTTGGAGGCTGATATTTGTTCAGTCTCAAACGACTTCATCAGCCTGGTGATACCCAACGGGCGATGTGGTTCAAATTTCATACTTCCTAACTTGAATTCACACTTGCACGGTACAAGTGGCATGAGGACAACTCGAAATATTTACTAGTGCGAAACTGTGAACGATATTGATACCGTAAATAGGAAATTATATACGCCTAGTACTGTACTCAGTTCTCTATCGGCAGTGGAAATATTTCCTGAAAATGTTGCCATTGTGAAAACATTTAATTTGAGCATGTCTTTCTGCATGCCATGGGAGAGACTTCACATAGGCTTAAAATTGTCGGCATTTTCATTTGAATTCCTACTATAGTTTAAGCAGAACTCCAGGTGTATTCAAACAAGACTCCACTGTACGCTGTCGTCAAGTTTCTATAATGCTGTAATCTTTTTCCATTATGTCTTCAAAATACAGAAAAAAAGATTTTTACTTTGGACTCTAAAATGCATTCCACCCTCACTAATGGTTTGGCAGTTTTGATTGACACAATTCTTGTACTCTAAACAGTCCCATCTATTTTTAAGTTACCACCCCCACTTATAAATAGAATAACCCAAGTACAAACACTAACATTTCCCAGTGAATTGTGAAACATTTCACCACTTATTACATATTTTTTATATCATTTCTTGTTATTTTTTCACCACATGGTCATGATTTCTCATTGGCTATAAGTCTTAAACAAAATTTTTGAATAAAAATGGAAAAAGTTTATTTTTATAAAAGTTATCCTTATTATTAAAGAGGGTTAATCCATTATTCAGCATTCATTTTTGACAAAATCTCTTTTTTAATTTTTCTTGACTATGTGCATTTCATATGCAAATCAGCATAGGTCAAATGCAAATTAGTATAGGTCATATGCAAATTAGTACAGGTCATGGAACCTACCACTTGATAAATGTAATACATCCCAGCCCAGGAGGTAAGACTAAGTTCTTTTTACTTTCGAAGTGAAAAAGAGGCCATAAAACTTTTTTACTTAGAACCTGTTCATTTTATTTTATTTTTCAGATATCGAAAAAAAAAACATGTTGTCATGACAACAGTTAAAACTGCAACTGAAAGACTGACTATTTGGGAAAAGCCTTAGAAAGTGACCTTGGAAAAGTACAACTGGTAGAATGTATTGAATTCTAAGATGGAACCTAGCTACATAAGAACAGGTCAAGTGGAAATGATTTTGTAAAAACTTATTGTGTCTACTGAGTTAAAGACTTGGTGATTAATTGAAGTTTTTTAATTACTCAATTACATCGTTTGTTTTAATAAACAAGTAATTGCAAAATGAGAATATTTCACAGTGAATTAAGGGATGAACCATTTTAACTATGTAGTGAATTAAAGAATAAGCCATGTATTTAGTTATGTAATGGGGGGGGGTCAGGGTCAAGTGATTGTTACAAGTAACAATCAATTACGCTTTGTATGAGAAAAATGCAGTCTAACAACGTAATTAGTAACACAGATTGAGAAAAGTAGCGGAATTTTGTTGCAAAGAGTCGCATTAATCATTTCTGCATGTTTTATGGTACAGTCGAGCAAGTTATAAAAACAAGAAACAAATGTTACAGTCCATGATTTCACAAACGTTTCACAGTTGAGTGTTTTTCTAAAGTCATGCCCAGTGGACAGGAAACTCTGTTTCTTCCGGATTTTCTTTCAGGCAACATCCTGGCGACCGATTGGGACTTACGGACAAAGGACAGACATCTCGTTAATTTCAACCTCCTTTAAAATGAATGACACTTAAACTTGTAAGGATCTCACTTTTTGTCTTCATGATGCAGTACTTTTAAATCAAAGGAGGTCTATTTTGAGTGATTTACATTGATTTAAAACCCGTAAACAAGACCCCCAGCGTGTGTCATTGCCGAAACCAAAACAAAGTAGTACAACACTTTACCATTCAATCCAATCCTTCGCGAGTAATTTAAGATGAGCTGAAAATTGTTACAAGTGAAGCATTTATTGGAAGAAAAATTTAAAAACTTTAAAAGCAATCTCTTCTATAATTGGTTGGATGGTTAGATTTCAGGAATTGGTTTCCTATGTGAAACAATATTATAAATCTATTTCTAAAATACTTTGAACTGGTTTTGTTTTTTTTGGAAAAAATTGTAATGATTGTCTTTTGGTATGCTTTTCTTATATCCGTGCTAAATTTGGCTGAACAAACATAAATCATCATCTTCATAAAATTTTATTGAAATAGAAGAAAGTGACATCAATGGCCTATTTTGTGAAAAAGATGTAAAATAGTAAAATAAAATTAAGTCACATTTTCATTTTCAGTGATTAAGATGGACAGAATAGTAAATTATAAGACCACAGTTCCAAATCAAAAAATCAATTGCTATAATTTCTACTGAACTCATAAAGAATGGCTTCAAAACCAGAAAGTCACTTTCATCATGGCACAAACTCAGCAGCGTGACTAATTTGTTGTTGCTATGCTTACCCATCAACACAGTGTTGCAGTCACCACCAAAGTTGACAAATTAACCATCATCCCCCCCAGGGCTGAAATTCCTTAACCTCCACACTAGTCTCAATCTTTATAATCTATGTGGCAGAGAACTGTTTTTATAACATCAGGATGACCAGTCCTTGGAGACCTATAAATTTTTTTTATCTTTTTTATTTTTTGTGAGAATTGTTGGGTGTAATGATGTTAAGTTCAAAAAACGACAGAATGTAGTTTTTGGAGTAGAGATCTATAAATCGATTCTTGAATAAACTTAACACCAAGGTGGCAGAGAATAATGTTCCATGAACCAGTATTGAGTTTTTAAACACCTGAGCAGGTTTTATTTGAGAGGAGTGATAAATCAAACAAACGAACAGTGGTTGTCATTGGCAATTTCAAATATTTTATTGATCTTTTTCTCTGATCGTAATTTGATGGTAATGCTAAGTGGTCGTCGTGCCGTGTCCTGTTCGACATGAGACTCATAGCGAAGTATACATGGAATATACATGGCATTTTCTTTTAATGCGCTATCCTGGCGTCAACCAGGCTCGGTCGAACACAAGCACCAGCGGCTCCCCCAAAGTCACATTCGTTAGTGAATGAATCTCGGCCAGCGGAATTGGCCTTGTCATTGAGTCTGTGGCACACTTTCTCAGGGTAGGGGGTCGACCCTTTGATGTTCAACCTATTTGAACTTGGGACTACCGATCATGAGTCTGATGGAAAATACATTGTTTATTTACATGAAATTCTAGCACGCACTGTGCGACAACCACCACCCTTTAAATGCTCAAATTTCATGTAACAAATAATGTATTTGACATGCGTAGTATTGTGCGTCGCTATGAGTCCCATATCAAACACAACGCTATACGATGACTACCTCCATGCGACCTAATCATGTCAAAATGGAGTTCTCTGACACTATATTCCTAAAATTGTTAATTAG